GGGGGGCTGGGGGGGCAGAGACCCCCAAAACCCATCGGAGCCCACCCCAAATCCCTCAAATTCCACCCAAAATCCCTCACATTCCACCCCAAATCCCTCAAATTCCACCCAAAATCCTTCATTCCCACCCAAAATCCTTCAAATTTCACCCCAAATCCCTCACATTCCTTCATTCCCACCCAAAATCCTTCATTCCCACCCAATATCCCTCAAATCCCACCCAAAATCCTTCAGATCCCACCCAAAAATCCTTCAAATCCCACCCAAACCCCTTAAATTCTGTCCTAAACCCTCTGATGCTACCCCAGATCCCTCAAATCCCACCCGAAATCCCTCAAATTTCACCCAAAATCTTTCCCCCCCCCAATTTTTCCCTTTCTCCCCCCAATCCTTCCCCTCACTCCAAATCCTTTTTTTTTTTTTTCATTCACCGACGCCGTTTTCAGCCAAATTCGGGTTTTTTTTGGGATTCACCTCCCACCGAATGCTCCCTGAAAGGCTGAAAAACTGGGAAAAAAAAAACTTTAAAACCACTGAAAACACCCAACGTTTTTATTTATCATTTCTTAGCTCCCCACCCTCATCCCGGTGTCCTCCTCGTGCCTTTTGGAAATAAAACATTGGAAATAAAACCTTGGGAATCTGAGCCGGATTTTGGGGTGGTTTTTGGGTTCTTTTGTGGGGGTTTTGGGATGGGCTGAGCGATTTTAAGGGAAAAGGGAGTTCCAGGCTCTGGGAAATTCCGTTTTCTTGCTTAATCCTGAAAAGCAGCATCGTGGAATCAGGGAATGACGAAATTATTGATTTTGGGGATAAAAGCATGGGAATGTGAGCTGGGTTTGGGGTTGTTTGAGGGATTTTTTTTGGGACCTACTGAGCGTTCCCATGGGAAAAGAGAAATGAGGGGGCGATGACGCCTCGCTCCGAGCTCTCCCAAACTCCGTCCTCTGCTTTAAACCCCCCAAAAAAACAACACCTCGGAGTTGGGAAATTGGGAATTATGGAATTAGGAGGCGGGAAAAGAACAAAACAGAAGAAAAAACAGCCTGGGAGCGCCTCAGGCCCCGCGCCCCCCTCAGGCCGCCCAAGATGGCGGCGCGGCCTCACCTCAGCCGACCCCCCCCGTTCCCGCCCCGCCGCGCGCGGGGCACGACGGGAACCGCCCTCAGCCGGGACCCGCCATTTTCTGCCGGGAAAGGCGGGAAGGGGGAGATCGAAGCCGCCGCAGCTGCACCGCGGGACCCGCACGGCTCCAGCGCCGCCGCCAGCGCCGCTCGCAGGTACCGGGGGCGCGGTGGCGGCCGGGGGTCGGTACCGGGGGGTGCTGGGGCGGGGGGAAGTACCGGGAAGGCTCCGGTGCGCGGGGGGTGGGGGGGGGGCCGGGGTCGCCTGAGGAGAAGCTCCTCCATAGTCCCGCCTTCCGTGCGGTGCTGCGCGCTGATTGGCCGGCACGCCGGGCTTTGATTGGCTGTGAGGCGCGTCTATCAAAGGGAGGGTGCGGAAATGCCGCCGCCCCTGCGAATCAGCGGGGGCTTCGCGGGGGTTTCTGGGTGCAGTAGTTCGGGGCAGCGCGGGCGGCGTGCTCAGCCATTCAGGCGCGGGGAAGCGATCACGTGACGCGGCGCGGGGCGCTCGTGGGAGCTGTAGTCGCGTAGGCCGCGCCAGGCTCTCTCTCCGTTTTTCCCGTTTTTTCCGTTTTTTTCGCCCCGTTTTCCTCCCGGTTTTTCCCGGCTCTTCCAGGCTGTGACGGCCCGGGATGGCCCGCACCAAGCAGACGGCTCGGAAATCCACCGGCGGCAAAGCGCCGCGCAAGCAGCTCGCCACCAAGGCGGCCCGGAAGAGCGCGCCCTCCACGGGGGGCGTCAAGAAACCGCATCGCTACCGGTAACCGGGGAGACTGGGGATACTGGGGATACTGGGAGGGACACTGGGGACACTGGGATGGGTAGCAGGGAACCAGGAGGTGGCACAGCCCCCCCACAGGGACACACCTGGGCATACCTGGGACAGGTGAGGGACACACCTGGGTACTGACAGTGATACCCTAAACCGCAGCTGTGCTTCCAGAGCGCGGCCATTGGTGTCACCTGTGGGTGTCCCACCTGTGTCCCACCTGTGTCCCACCTGTGTCTCACCTGTGTCTCACCTGTGTCCCACCTGTGTCCCACCTGTGTCTCACCTGTGTCTCACCTGTCCAGGCCCGGCACGGTGGCGCTGCGCGAGATCCGGCGTTACCAGAAATCCACGGAGCTGCTGATCCGGAAACTTCCGTTCCAGAGGCTGGTGAGGGAAATCGCGCAGGACTTCAAAACCGACCTGCGCTTCCAGAGCGCGGCCATCGGGGCCCTGCAGGTGAGGGACACACCTGGGACACACCTGGGCGGGTGAGGGACACACCTGG